TGTTCTTCAGTTCCTTGAGCTTAAGAAATGCTGAGCGAGTTCGGCCCTTTTGATTTTCTGACTCTAGCTCCTCGGACATTTCATTGTAGTATTTTGCTTTGTCATTCCGAGCAGCCTTTTGGAATCTTCTGTTCAGCTCTTTAGTATCTTGAATTCTTCCTGATGCACTGGAGTTTGAAAAGACTCCTGTAATAAATTTGTTTTGGAAGAAGTACAACCATGGTGCTATTTAGAGACAAAGATGATGAAACTTCATCTAACTCTGAGCATGTTGTCAAAAGATTCCTGTCACAGGTAAAGAATATCATGCGTGGAAAAAGCAGAGGGTCAGAGAATGAGGGGCAGGACCTCAATGAAATAAACCAATAGTAACAGTAGACAGTGAGAGGACGACGTAGGATCAGGTAAGGGTTCAGTCTGTTGTATATACAGTTGCTATGAGCTAGAGCTGACTCAATGAGATCTAACAACAGTCAGTAACAGGGACATTTTAGAAATATCTGCCTATTTCAAGTTTCTCCATATATTTATTGACATTCCATTGAATTTATAAATTCATCTTGAGTGTCAATGTCTTTATAATTTTTTACATTCAGAAAAAGTATATGTATATAAAACTATTAAAATTGCTTACATTTATGTTTATGTTACTGTTTTCCATTATAATCTTCCTTGCAATAGCCTTTAAAATATTATTTATCCTAATTATATTTCTTCTAATGACATTTTATTATCACAGTTATACTGTGTATCTGTTGAATCAGGTTTTCCATCCCACAAGAACCAATTTTCTCCTACTTAGAGATAATATTGCAGGCTTCAAATATCTTGGAAAAAAATATACTTCAGATTTTGTTTTGTTTTCAGTCCTTTAAAAGTCCTACATACAAAGTGCTTTCTAAGACATTTTGTAGTCATTTACTATTGCCAATGAGATTGACACAGTGACTAATAATGACGTGCTCAAGCATATCTGAGACTGTAAGGATGGCTCACAGGGTTCAGAGTTATGCTTCAAAGCATCACAATGAGTCACAGTCAACTTAATGGCACCTAAGAACAACAACAATATCAATAAAATATTAATTATAAAGGTCTCTAATAATTTTCTAGTAAGTTCTTACATGATCCTCAAAGAATAATATTATTTCCCCTTCCTTAAGTATATTTTTATGGATTTAATTATAACTCCCCAAAATATCTGAGTCTTGTCCCCTATACCTATGGATACAATCCTATTTGGAAATAGAATTTTCTCTTTTATAGTAATAAGATTATGTCTGTGTAAGACGTGTCTTAAATCTAACTTTTTAAAAAAAATATTTGTAATGATTTGAGTGAAAGGTTCAATCCAGGTATTTTTGAGATATCAAAAGAGCAGACTAGACACTGGGACAGCAAAGACAACTGAAAGAAAACAGATTCCACATGAAGATCCTCAGTTGCCAAAAAAACAGAAGCTGAAAGAAACAAAGTGTCACTTTCAAGCCTCTGTACAACTATTCATCATTGTCATGCAGTTACCCTGAAGCAGGTCTGATTCTCACCGACCACGCCCCCCATTTTCTGACTCAAAACTGTTTATGCACAGACCAGAATCACCCAGTACAATTTTATGCTAAGGTGGGAAATGTTCTGTATCTATGCTGGTCAGTATGGTTATTAATGAGCATAAGAGACTACTGAGCCTTTGAAATATGGCTAATATGGCTGGGAAGATAATTTTTAAAACTTAATTTAGCTAATTAATTGGTATTTATATAACCTAGCCACATATGATTGATTGGCTTTTGTACCTACCAGAAGGGTTCCAAACGCCTATAGAATATTTTGTCTTCTCGCAATAAAATCTTTTCACTCATCTTGAAACATATTTTTTGTACAATTTTTTTAGACTGTTGCCTTACTGTTCTTCCTAAAAGGTCTGCTCTGGTAATGCGTATATCAGAGAAACCTCATTTTTTGCTTCTTCACCCTTCCCTGCCCCCCATTAAGTACTGCTGCATCAGATCCAACTGGCTATCAGATCCAACTGGCACAGGAGGAGACTGACCCTCCTCTGGTGGATTCAAACTGCATGCCTTTGGGATTGCAGTGCAGCTTCTTGCCTCTAGGCAACCAGAGCTCCTACTTCTCAGCCTCTAACTTTGTCCTTTGTCTTTGGAAGTCTAGGTACTTTCCATAGCAAACTAGAGTGAACAATCAGGCATGGTTTGACTTTCGCCGTAAGAGGTGAGAAAATGCAAGGAAAAACTTTAGACAGATTGTTTGTGCCACTTTCCTTCTAATTATTGATTTACTTAGGTAACAACCTAAACTGAGTTTCTGGGTAGCTCAAACAGTTGGCAATACTGTTACTAACTGAAAAGTTGAGGGTTCTATTAACCACTAAATTAAGTGCTCAGTTACTACTTGAAAGGCTGAAGGTGTTACTCTACTAAGAAGAACTACTGATCTACTTCTAAAATAATCAGCCATTGAGGACCCAATGGAGCACAAGTTTACTCTGACACACATAGAATCATCAAGCATCAGAGTCAACTCCACAACCAGTTTGGGTGTTCTTTTGGTATGTGCAGTGAAGGTGTAGTTTATGTTAATATCTTGAGTTCAAAATTATTATTTCGACTTAGTTTAGTGAGAAACCACTTACCCAATTCCACTTCCACTGTCTCATTAACTGGGCTTATAATCAATGGTGCAGTCATTATTGCTTTCACTGAAAGAAAAAAAAATAAATAAAAAAACCTCACATTTATAGGGGTTTCTAAGTAACTTACAAGCAAAAGCCACAAATTGTAACAACATGTAGCCAAATACACTAACAGGCATCTTCCAAATGTTCCCCCAGGTCCCAAAGTATGTATGACAAGCAACAAGAGGTCAATGAAAGACCAGAGCAAACTGAGCCAACTATGAATTTCTGCCCCAAAAGAGAATCTATGAATATTTGGTATGACTAAGGATGACAGAAGAAGAATCAATGTCTTTGAGTTGTGCTGGAGAAGAGTCTTGATCATACAAGCTTCTCCTTGGAGGTGAGGGCTTTGAAGCTCTGTCTCACATACTTTGGGCATGTGGCCAAGAGAGACTGGTCCTTGGAGCAAGACATCATGCTTGGAAGAGTGGAGGGGCGGTGCAGGAGAAGAAGGTCACAGATGACATGAATTGATACAATAACTGGGGCACTAAGGGTTGGTGTGTTGCAATGGGTGAGACTGGCTCAGGACAGGACAGGGTTCAGCACTGCCGTACATACGGTTGCTATGGGTCACCTGTGACTCAAGAGCACATAACAACAAGAATCACAAAAATCATGCTCATCTGGCTTATACTCAAGTCACAGTTCAGGATTCTGAGTCTCCAGTCAAGTGCTCCTCTTAAAGCAAATCAGGAAGAGGGAGTAATAGCAGAAAGACAAAGCCCTGGAAGGAGATTACCACATGGTTCAGCCAGTGACAAATCTGTATTTAATAATTGTGGCAGATGAACCAATACTGACTGTCACAAGAACACTTAAATATGCCAAGTTTTATGAACTGAATTTTGCCCCATAAAGTTAAGTGTTGGGATCCTAATCCTTGTATCTTTCTGGAAACATGGTTTTTGTTACTGTTCTGTTTATGAGACCATAAGAATTTTCACTGAACAAATCTGCTATCAAAGACCTCTTTAAATTGCTAAAGAGAAAGGATGTCAGTTTAAAGATTAAGGTGTACCTGACCCAAGCCATGGTACCTTCATGAACTTGTTAAAGTGGCACAATGCTATTCAATGAAACACCAAAGGGAAAAAAACCCGATGTCTTTGAATTATAATACTGATAAAGAATATTGAATATGCCATAGGCTCTCAAAGGAAAAAAACAAATCTGTTTTAGAGGAAGGGTAATCAGGATGTTCCTTCTTGTTTTTGTTAGGTGCCATCAACTCAACCACAACTCACAGCTAGTCAATGAACAACAGATCTGATTCTTGCCCTGTTGTATTCTGTACCATTCTCATCATATTCTGTACCAATCTCTGATATTCTGGGGCCAATTATTACAGTCACTGTGTTAAACCATTCTATTTGAGGGTCTGCTTCTATTTACTTCCCTTACTCCCACTTTTCTCAGCATGATTTCCTTTAATGCTTGGATCCACAATCAACACCCTCTCTACTGGCCATCAGAACATGAGAATTTCATTGGGAAAGCCTACTGTCAGAAACCTCTCCAAAGTACTGAGTAGCAATGATATCTGTTTAAGGACTAAGGTGCACCTGATTCAAGCCATAACGTTGGTGTGTTGTTTTTTTTCAATCACTTGCTATGCATCTGAGAACTGAACAATGAATTATGATGACAGAAGAAGAGTTGATGCCTTGGAGCTGTGGTGTTAGAAAAGAGTATTGAATAGCTCATGGACTGCCAAAAGATCAAACAGATATGTCTTGGGGAAAGTGCAGCCAGAGGGCTCCTTTAGAGGCAAGGATGGTGAGGTTTCATCTCACATACTTTGGATACGTGGTTAGGAGGAGTTATTTGTTGGATAGGGATATCATGTTTAAAAAGGTAGAGGTTTAATGAAGGAGAGGTAGACCCTCAACAAGATGGATTAACACAGTCACTCCAGCAGTGGGTTCAAGTATGTCAGAGATAATGAGGATGGCACAGGATGGGGCAGAGTTCAGATCTATTGTTCATCAAGTAACTATGACTCATTCTTAGCTCAGTAACACCTAACAACAACAACAATAGAGATGGCAAAACTTGGTCTTGATGTATTTTGGGCATATTGTCACAAGGTAAAGCCCTTGGGAAAAGGTATTATTCCTGGAAAAGTACAGGGTCAGTGAAAGAGAGGAAGACCATCAATGAGATGGCTTGGCCCAGTGACTATAATGATGACTTTACCATGATGAAGAGTGTAAGAACGGTACAAAGATAGGGCAGGGTTTTGATCTGTAGTTCAGAGGGTTCCTAAGAGTTACAGTTGATGTGACAGAAGCCAACAAAAACATGAAGGCATATCAGTGCAGAGTGTGCCTTAAACCCGTTCCCTCTCAAGATACATTCAGGGCTTATTAGGCATAGAGACAAGCTAGTACTAATTGTGGAAGACCAAAGCACATGTGAGGGTCCACTCACTATGGAAATGAGAAGCACCATCATTTCAGGAGCTGAGACAAAGATAGTACTCCAGGGTTCACAGAAAGAGAGCCTTCTTCCAGAGTTCATGCACTGAATTTTAACATCAAACTTTCTTAACTGTAGCATAGTATGTAGGGAGTTGCACTGTTAGCCCAAAGGTAGAGTCTCTGGCATTTTGAATCCACGAGCGGCTCCTTCAGAGAAAAATGCTCAATCTCTTGTAAGTGATTTACAACCTCCAGAAACATACTGGAGGGTGAGCTATGAGCCCATCCCAACTGGATGACAATGATAGATCAGAGAGAAACTGTAAAAACAGATTTAAACTTTTCAGAGCTGTCCATTTATGGTGTATCTGTTACAGCAGCACTAAGAAACTATGGCACCAAGCAAATTGGCCTTGGGGGATTGAAATGTATTAAAATAGGTATAAAAGTAGGTATAAGTCCCTCAAACCTATCTGAATTTTATTTATCAGAAGATTTAGTTCTTGGTATGATCGAAGAAGGTCTCATGTTCTACAGAGGCAAAAAGAGAAAGGGTTGGCTTGTGTCTCTTTTGATTCCTGATGCATATCTGGAACAGGAGCTGGCACATGGTAAATATTCAATAAGAATCCAGAAAACGTGCAAAACCCACTAAGCATTATAAAGGTGAACCACAGGAAAAAAACAACATATTACCTGACCTCTGATTATACTGTTTGTACATATAAAATCAGAAAAGGAAAATAATTTCTTTAGATCATACTTCACCTATTTTAAAAATTCCTCACTGCCAAGTTCTCTCAAAAGTTTTATCTGCTGATGTATTTACTGTGTCTCGAGAAAGATAAGTCAGAGCTATTTAACAGACAAAGGAGATAATTGTAATAGGAAGATGACGAACAAATCAATTCCTGATGCTTATAGGGGGAAAGGCAATTAACATTTTAAAGGAGACAATTATAAAAAAAAAAGCAAACTCAAAACTCACTGCTATTGAGTTGGGGCTACGAACCACATAGGAGATGGTCCATATCTCTTTTACAGCTGCTGGTGGATACAAACTGCTAAAGGGTCATAGCCCTCAAGTTAGCAGAGCAAACTTTCTATGGACTATGCCACCAGAGGTACCTACTGAATTAGGCAAAAGGAACGTCTCCAAAGTGCTAAAGAGCAACAATGCCAGTCCAGAGACCAAGGTGTGCCTGATTCAAGCCATAGTCTTCTCAATGGTTTTCTATGCATCTGAGAGCTAGACAATGACTAAGGATGACAGAGGAAAATATTGATGCCTTTGAGCTGTGGTGCTGGAGAAGAGTAATAAATATACCATGGACTGCAAAGAGAGCAAACAGGTACGTCCTGAAGAGGGTGAAGCCAGGTTGCTCCTTAGAGGGAAGGATTTTGAAACTCCATCTTGCATAATTTGGGCATGTTGCCAGGAGAGAGCAGTCCTTGAAGGAGGACATCATGGAGGGTCAGTGCAGGAGAGGAAGACCCTGGATGAAATGGATTGACACAGTGACTGTGACAATGAGGGCAGGTGTGTCGGAAATGGCAAGGTTCAGAGCTATTGTTCATAAGGTTGTTCTCAGCTTGACGACAAATAACAACTGCCTTTGCATTCTCTCCAACTCATGGTCACTCTCCAAACTCTCCAATGGATTTCTAAGGCTGCTGGTAGCTTTTTATGGAGTGAGAATGATCATTGTTTCTTCACAGAATAGATGGTGGATCCAAACTGTTGATCTTTCTATGAGCACTCAGATATGTTATACACCATGCCATCAGGGCTTCTTAGCTATAGAGCAGGTAATCTTCTAGCCAGTTTGACAGGAATAGTCTCATTTCATGCCTCCTGTCCCATTATAATTCTTAATATTATCTCCTTTAATTATCAAAAAGGCCTGATTAGAATAACCCTTAAAGATCATAACATTTATATTAAAGTTCTGGTATTTACTGATAGAGAATTCTACCTATTCTCATATAATTTGTTGGGGGTGTATTTTTGTTTCATTTTATTGTTCTCTGTTCAGTTTCAAAATAACTTTTAATATGAAAATATTTAATATTTCAGAGATCACTGAAAGGCTAAAGAAAATAAACAAGAACCATCATTCACCTAGATACGGAGTACCTGCTCTTTAAGGTCCCTGGGCAGGGCAAACCATCAACAGCGGAATATTCACCTACACATTCCTGGGCTGAACCATGATGAAAAGTGTTTTGAATAAAACAGGGAGTCACAGAATAAAGACCTGATGATTTGCTTCTGCAAAGATTATAGCCAAGAAAGTTTAAAGGGGAGCTCTGTCACGTAGGATGACTACACAGTAGCACTGGCAATGGATTAGGTCTCTTGTTATTATCTTTGTTTTCCTTAATATGTGATCAGGAGCTTAGAATACCTGAATACTAAGTGCAAAGATTAAGTGCTCAGCTGTCAACTGAGGTCACTGTTAACTCATACCAGTTAGTAGCTCCACAAGAGAAAAAGCCACGGTGACCTGCTCACGTAGATTCGTTCTACTGGGGCTTTTTTGGTTGGTGTGTGTTTGTTCATTTGTTTTTATGCCTGTCAAGTCAGCTCCAACACACAACAATCCCAGGTACAACAGACTGAAATGCTGCCTAGGTCTGGACCGTGTTCACCATCTCAGCTGTGAGAAACACTATTAGCTGGTTTTGCTTTGGTCTATGGTAGCTGAGCAAATTGAGAAGCCGACGACATGAAGAAGAATGTGGCATCAGGAGCGGAGGAAGACTCATCAGCAACCTGCATTATGCTTATGAAACCAACTTGTTGCAGAAGGTCAAAGATAACAGCCTCCAATATGGATTGTATCTACTGTATGGATTGACAGTGACTGCAGCAATGGGCTCAAAATGTGTCAGAGATGATAAGAATGACACAGTATGGGACAGGGTTCAGATCTATTGTTCATACGGTCACTATGAGTTGTACTTTACTTGATGGCACCCAACAACAGGAGGTAAAGAGTTGCAATGCCAACCCAAAACACATAGTTTTATTTACCCGCTGCTTCCAGGACAAAGGTGGGCAATCGCCTGTGTGATTTACAGCCCAGTTGGTTAGAAGGCACATAACAACATTACTGGCTTACAGACTTTTTTTATCAACAATCAGCTCTTATCAACAAACTTCCTAATAACCTTATAAATACCTACATCTTATGAATGAAGAGGCAGATTAAAGGGAGTGGGTAACTTTTTTAAGGCCTCACAAATAATGGGAGGCAGATCCTGGGAGTATAATTTACTCCAAAATTCAAGGCTTCCCATCCATCATGCTAATGATCTCCACTGCTAAACATTTAGACTCCCCAGATCAAATATCTCAGAATTGTTCCCATATACCATCCAGGGGAACACAAAACCTCTCTGGTAGAATAATTCTGCAGCCATGCCAAAGCATAGCAAGTTCAACTGGAAAGCATAGCCTAAAGACTGATGGTTGTTGTTATGTGCTGTTTAGTTGACTGCGATTCACAGTAACCTTATTAGCAATGGCTCTGAACCCTGTCCTATCCTGAACCAACCTGTATCTCACACACCTACCCCCACTGCCACAGTCACTGTGTCAATCCACTTCATCCAGAGTTGTCTTCATACGCAATGACTCTCTATCCTTTCAAGCAGGACATCCATTTCTAAGGACTGGTGGTCCCTCCTAGTGACATGCCCAAAATATGTGAGATGGAGCTTCAAAACCCTCGCCTCTGAGGAGCAACTTGGTTTCACCCTCTACAGGACAAAACCTGTTTGTTCTCTTGGCCATCCATGGCATGTTCAATACTTTACTCCGGCACCACAGCTCAAACACATCCATTCATCTTCTGTCACACATATTCAGTGTCCAGCTCTCAGATGCATAGCAAGCAAATGAGAAGACCATGGCCTGGATTTTTGAAACTTGCATCTCATATATAATAAAAACAAACCAACCAACCCTAAACTTGCTATGTCACCTTTGGCAAGCCATTGAGCCTATTGTAGGTTTAGTTCCAGCAGAGACAATGAAGAGGCATTAAAATAAGGGGCTGGAGCTATGACTCACCTACAGGAGTGAATTCGATGACACGGGTCATACGATACTGCTTGTCCAAGTGCCTATAGAATGCTTGACAAGAATATTTCCCTTTATGTTCTTCAGTCACTTTCATGAGGATGAGTTTATTTTTTTCTCCAAAATATGTTACATTGTCAAGAAGTAAAGGCTTGCAATCCTAGATGCAGCGAGCAGGAAGAAGCATTGAAAAATAATTACTAACTTGTCCTAGCCAAAGAACAAAAAAGGAACTTCATTTGTTTATATCAGCAAATGTCACATAAAAGTGACTAGAAAGCTTTCATACAATAAATGCTTATTTCTTTTTGTTTGGTGAAAGTTAAATATTTTGTTCTATGCCTGGGATCATGATATTTTACACTCATGAATCTTTGCTATGAAGACAAGTGAAGATACATTTATTTAACAGGAGGAGAATATTTGAGGATATACCTTAGCAGTAATTTCTTTCCTTCTTGACTTTTACTTGTTTTGCTCATCTCAAATGAATTCCCCACTTAAACTACAGCAGACAAGCAGATGAAAGATACCAATGTATTATCATTTGCTCCCTGGAACGCTAGCCAATCCACTTTTGAACTATGTGGGGAAACCCCTAAGTTATCTTAGTATCGCTTAAGTTCATCAGCAAAGCACAAGATTACATTTTTTTAACACGTTGCCTCACACTTTTAAATTGACGGCTATGCTTAGAAACACATTTTTTATATATATTACTGTCATATGCAGCACCATGTTAATAAGTATCTCTTAAAAACCTTAAATTTTTGATCAAGTTTCTCTTTAAATATTATTTATTTCTACTATTACTTTTCTGAACCATGTCTTATTAACTCAAATAAGTTATTTTATTTATTTACCTATGAAAAAAACCTAAGTCAGGAGCTATGATGCCTTAGTTGTGAGGAGGTGTACTGCCAACCCAGTGACAGGCAATTCGAACTCAGCAGCTGCTAGCTGGGAGAAAGACAAGCAATTTCCTCTCATGCAATTTGTTGCTGTTGCTGTTGTTGTGAACTATCGGGCCAGAACTTACCCATAGCTGACCCTCCAGTGAGTTTTCAGAGACAGTTTAATCCCATGAGAGGAAATTGCTGATCTTTCCCATGTAGAGCATCTGGTGGATTCGAACTATGTGCCTTTGAGATGACAGTGCTACTGACTCTTTAAACCTGCTATGAGTTGGTTCCAACTCAATGGTATGTAGCAGCAATAGTCACAGTTTAAATAAAAGCAATAATAAGTTTTCAGTTACAGTTCCAATTAAACAAATGCTGTCTTAAATTCATTAATTCCTGGTGATTTCTATTATTCCAAAAGGAAAAATATACAAATGTACAATTACAAATTATTTTGCAGATTTATCCTATTACCCAATGCACAAAATTATTTGCTGAAAAAGTAAAGTGTCACACAGTAGGCAAATGTACCTTATACCACTCTACCGTGGGGAACCCGTGATTTTCATTGAGGAATAGCTTGGGGCACACAAGCTGTCCACGTTGTCCCATGGGTAGTTTTTGTGGAAACACAACTTGTGTGCTGTAACACAAGTTAGGATCATTTTCCACAAACTTCAGGTTTATTTTAAGTTTGAAGAAGTAAGTTGAATTTCTAAAACAAAATAAGATAGGTAAATTGAGCACTATTAATGTATATTCAGTTTTACCTTTAATTACTGGCAAGCACCTTCAACACGTTTTTTGTAAGGCATTGAGTTCCTCTTACCTGAGTACGCAGTAGTAATGTCCAGAGTCTTCTACGTGAGCAGGAACAAACCAAAGTTTATCTTGGAACTGATGAATCCTGGATCCTTGTTCCACAGATATAGGTATGTTGCTATCATTTTTATACCAAGTTGTAGTGTCTCTGTTTTTGAACCACTTAGAAGAGCATAAATGAATAAAAATTTCATTTGCAGGTGAAATTTGAACTAGTTCATCTTCATATTCCTGGAATTTATCTTGAAAAAGGAAAAAGAAAAAGCAATTTCCATAAAAATTTTGTCCACATTTCGTAAGGTAGTATCTCAACATAAATATATCAATTATAAAACTTTCAGTTTCTATTATCTGTGAATAATTTATAGATAGCCACTCCCATGTGATCTCTAGCATTTGAAAATCAGTTGGAGGGTCAACTTCTGCACTGGTGTAAGATTGAGTAACAGTGACTAGATGTATTGAAACAACTTCAAAAAATGGATGAAGAATGTGAAACAGTTTAAGATACTGGTATCATCATAAGCAGTTTCTTACTTCACCTCTGCCTTATATGAGGTCTTCTGAGCTGTAAAACAACCCAGTGGTAGATGGAATATGGTCCAGGACTTAAGAACAATAAATGACATAGTTGAGTCTCTATATCTTGTGGTTCCTAACCTTTATACTATAATAGACAAAGTGCTAGTCAATAAGCCTTTTCTTTTAAGAACTACCTTCCCTCTGTAACTTGATTTGTGCTACTGTTAGAACCTCTACTTGGAATATTATTGCTTTTCATTTTTGACTCATGTACTTTTAACTTGTTAGTTAAATTTGTGTCTTCTAGGCTGCAACAGTTCCATGATACATCTTCAAGGATATGAACATATATGGCTAAGCACAATTGATAACAGTGCATCTAAATTCCAAAATTAATCTCCACAACAGTCTACATGTTTCCTATTGCCAAAGGGGCCCTTTAGAGTAGTGAGAGAATATCTTTACCCTGAAACCTACAGCGTCCCTTTTCAGCAGGAAGTAGCTAAGAGAATACGCCGTCCTCTTTTCCTTATGAATCAGGGTGAAGTCTCTCTCAGGGAGGAGTGATAGGGAATGGCAAAGGACATACTGACAAAGGAGATTAGTCAGAACTGGCTTTGACAAGCACTGTGGCAATGGGACAATTAAAACAGACTTTCAAGGGGGGAAAAAAAGAGGAACGAACTGGGGGAGAAGGTAGAGAAAATACTTTAACAATGAATGAATGGAAACCCAAAATCTCTGTAAATGTTCATTAAAATGAATAAAATTTAATTTTTTTTTAAAAAGATACTGGTATCAGAGAAGTAAACACAGAGAACTCAGACTGACAGGGAAAAGGTGATGATATTCTCTATTACCTGGAGAGAGACTGAAGGCAAGGTGGAAACACAAGTGAGGCCCAGGCCTCTCTCTGCGTCTGGAGTATGTATTGTAAGTCTATTCGTTGCAGGGCCAAGTACCAAGGGGGAGGGTGTGCTGCATAGGAAACAGCACTGCAATTTTAAGAGCTGCCCTAGAGAGTACAGATGAGTAGTGGAAGGTAAAAGAATACAAGATCTGGGTAAGAACACCTAAAAGGATTTTTAAAAAATAAAAAAAAAACTAACAAAAACCTGTCAATGAATTGACTATGGCTCACAGCAATCCTACAAGACAGAGTAGAGCTTTCAAGGATGTAATTCAAACCCACAGTAAGAATGACTTAAAAGGACTTAAAAAATAAAAAGAACTAACAAATACTTGTCTTCTGGTTGATTATGGCTCATAGCAACTCTAAAGGACAGAGTAATGTTCTCAAGGTCACAAGGGGTAATCCCGTCTCCTGTGAATTACTGCTTCTGAAAACCTGCTTTAGTGTCAGCTATTGGTCCGATCTCACTCACAACAACAGCAGCAACAATCTTCATAAAAGCAGACTACTGAGCTTTCTCCCCAGAGCATTTATTGTGTTTGAACTGCCAACCTATGTCACCAGGCTCTTTTTTTCAAAAAGGATTTGAAGAATAATAACAAACACATTGCCTGGGAGTAGGGAGCAACTCACACCTGACTCTCGTTTGGGCTTCCAGGGCTGTAAATAGCAAGGACACTGTGCAGCTTTTTCCTCAGAGTTGCAAGTGGATTTGAATCACCATACATGTGCAACCTTTGGATAGGCAGCAAAACTCCCTATAGACCATATCAAATATTTGGAACTCTCACAAAGTTTAAAAAACTTGGTGCTCCAGCATCCTGAATGGGAAAATCTGACAGTTACAGAGAATTAGTTAGTGAACCAAGAAAGATTCTCAACACTGGACCAATTGGCAGCATCATGATAGATGGTGAAAAGATTGAGATTGTTAAGAGATTTAGTTTGCTTAGCTCCACAATCAACACTCTTGGTACCAGCAGCCAGGAAATTAAAAGACAAATTGCTTTCTGAAAGTCTGCTGTCAGAGACCTCTCAAAAGTACTAAAGAGCAATGATATCAGTCTGGAGACGAAGGTACGCTTGATACAGGCCATGATCTTTGCAATTACTTGCTATGAATCAGAAAGCTGGACAATGACCAGGAATGATAGAAGGAGAATTGATGCCTATGAGCTGTGGTGCTGGAGAAGAGTGTTGAAAAGGACTGGTAGGAAAACAAACAAGTTCATGCTGAAGAGAACGAGACCAAGCTGCTCCTTGGAGGCAAGGATTCTGAAGCTCTGACATACTTTGGACATGTTGCAAGGAGGGACCAGTCCTGGGAGAGAGACATCATACTTGGAAGGGTAGAGGGAGAGCGCACCAGAGGAAGAGCCTTATGAAATGGATTGAATCAGTGACTGGGATAATGGGGCGTAAGTGTGTCTGAGACACTAAGTTTGCCACAGGATAGAGCAGGGTTTAGTGCTGTTGTACATAAGGTCACTATGAGTTGCAGGAAACTTGACAGCACATAATAACTACAACACACAGAAGGATTTTGCATCAGTTTTTGGAGAAAATTATTGTTGTTACTGGATGTTGAGATGATTCCAACTCAAAGCAACCTCACTGACCGACAAGGAATACAACATAGGACTTTCTTGGCTGCATTTTTTTTAATAGAAGCAGAGCACCAGTTTCCCCCACAAAGTCATGGGGTGAGTTCAAACTGTCAACCTTTTGGTTAGCAAGTGGGCACTTAACAGTTGCACCACCAAGCCTCCTTTAAATAAAATCTGGCTTAGAACAAGCCACATTCTGTCTAAAGGGAAGCTTAAAAGGAAGCTTAAAAACTTAAAACGAGGACTTGAAATAATCAAAACCCAAACCACTGCTCTCAAATTGGTTCAACTCACAATGATCCTTTTAGCAGAGAGGAATCACCCTGTTGAGTTTGTATAACTTTCATCATTTCTCGAAGTTTATAGAGTTTCTGGAGGCAAGCTATTTCAGAAGTGGATGCCACTCCTACTTCCATGCCTGTTTTAATTGGGGAGCTCCACCAAACACTGTCCAGCGTGGGTAACCATTATGACATTTGACACATCAGTGTCACAGTCAGCACCCAACAATAGAAAATCTACAGTTTTTAACATCCAATCAAAAATCACTAGACATGCAAAGAAGTAAGAAAATGTAACCCAGAATCAGGTAGTGGGGAAACCAGTAACTTGAACCACACTCAATTTCATCTATACAGCCAGCAGCAAAAACCAAATCTACTACTGTCAATTTAGTTCTGACTTATACTGACTCTATGAAAGACTCTGGCTATAAATCATTACAATAGGAGACTTATCTTTTTCCTAAGGAGCAGCTGGTGGATTTGAACTGATGATTTTTCAATTAGCAGCACAACATGTAGCACAATATACCACCAGAGTTGCTTAGCTGTATACAGTAGAAAGGCCCGTAATGTGAATAATAATGTTAGAGAGAAATGTATTCCTTAGTACAATCCACATAAATGAGGCCAAAAGGGCAGAGTTTGTCAAAAACAAGGCTCAGAAAGCAGGAAGAAGAAGGGGAAAAGGGTGAATGAAAAGAGGGAACCCCAGGGGAAGGGGGAAAAGTGCTGGGGGATTACAACAATAAAATTTATAACAATAAAATTGATATAAATTATTGAACAGAAAATTAATTTGTAAAGTTTCGAGCAACTTAACATTAAAAGTAAATAAAACAAAAAAAACCTTAACATACACACACCTAAAATGGATATGGGGGATAACATGAATAGATGAGGAAATTAAAATAAATATTACTCCTCTGCCCATTTGTTAAAACTACTAAAAAATTTAAATAAGTTGAGCAGAAAAATAAAAGCAGTTACAAGAAAAGGCAAAAAGCTACATTAAACTTCTAGAGTTGTAAAAATGTCTGAGTTAAAAATTAAGTGGGATTCATGTTATGTATGGTAGAGCACAGATGAGATTCATGGTCTAAAGACAGCACTTTAGAGACTATTCAAAATAAAGAAAAAAATGAACAAATGATTAGTTTATCAAATGTAGTTGGGGATAATATAAATGGTTTGAATAAATATCCCAGAAGAGGAGATGTGAAGGGAAAACAGAAAGAAAAGAAGAAGAAAAAGAATTTTGACTGAAATGTCTCAAGATTTGATGAAAATTAAATACCAAACCCCTCAAAAAAATCACATCAAACTCCAAGTAAAAGAAATATAAGAAAACTAGATTCAAACAGTTTAAAACCACTAATAAAGAGAAAATCCTGCAAGTATCCAGAGAGAAAAAAACCACACATTTCATAAAGAGGAATTTAGGACGAAAATGTTGTAACCTACTTGTTAGAAATAAGAGGAACCAGACAATGGAGTAATGACTTTAAATTATTGAAAGAAAATACAACCTTGAATTCTACATTCAACAAAACATCTACCAAAGCCTGCAGTGTTAGCCTGAAGTTGGCTTTTCTTAGCAATTATCTTAGCCCCTTCTGGTCTCCAGCTACCTTACTTACAGACACTTGGTCTTGCAAATCATCAAGAGATATGGGACTAGGATAAGAGAGAGGGTGCTTCCCTCACTGAGCACTAAGACTTGAGGGAGCCTAGAGCAACATCCTGGTGAGAGCAAGACTCTAGTGGTGAGACATGGTGATGATGGTGGAGAGACTGTGGCATTGCTGTGGAGAAACTGTGGCAAGGCATAACCAGAGGAGCCCTAAAATTAAGGCCACAGTTAAAAGGTTTTGCTGTGCTTGCTGGATCATTGATGCAAAAGCTGGCTTATAACTGCTCTGAGGTAAACTTTGTAGCATGATGAGAAAACAAGAACTTTTGAGTTTGTGTTGCTGAACTGAAACCAGGACTTTTACTAAGTAAGAAATGTTGTTTTGCTGTTAATCTGGGTTGGGACTGCTGGACTAGACCTGGACTTGTATTGTGAGATATTCTTTGCCTCCCCCACTCCTCAACCTGTTTCCCTAGTAAATCTCACTCTTGGTACCACAATTGTGGGTAAAGTCTGCGAGTCAACAATGAATAAACAAATCTCTTGCTGCTGGTGTGGAGGAACCATGGGGCTGCTATGGGCTCTATATGCTTGACGCTCTGGAGCAGTGAAGGGCTGTGCTACGCTCACTCCTTCTGGCCCTTTCAGAAAGACACTCATGGCCCTGTGTACCACGCACCATTTTCTGTTCTTTTTGCAAAGCCAAAGGCTTTTTCAAAACTAGAACAGTATAAGCATTCGCTGCCAGTGCACCTCCACCAAAGAGCCTTGGTGACACATTGGTTAAGCACTTGGATACTAACCCAAACAAGCAGATAGTTACATCTTTCAACCTCAAAAACTCTCTAGTCTGTCCTGCAGGGTCTCCAAAGGGCAATAAGACTTATTACTTTAAAATCAAAACTGCCAGTAGTTGCCTGGGGGTTAAAAAAAAAGTAACTGAGGAATGCAGAAGACACCGAAGGACTGTGAGGAGAAGTCAAAGAGAAAGTATAACACATTGAAAAACTGCCCTATAAATGAAGAGATTTGGAGACATCCATGCCCACAGTTAGAAATTAAATGAGATGATCCCCTATGTTTTCACTTCATGCTGATCCCCAGTCTCAGAAAATGTCAGAATATGTGTTGAAGGAGTATACAGGCTCAGACATACTATGCAAAGACAGGAAGAGGTAGATTTGGGGATGGGGGGTTTGCTTTCCTTATATTTCCCCTTTATGTTCAGGAAAATCTCTGGCATAGTCTTCTATAGTACATGTTGATCATCCCTCAAACAGACCATATGCTCAGTCACAAAGCAAGTTTTTAACAGATTAAGATGACTGAAGTCAAAATAGTGTGATACTGGTATACATGAGTACTCATGGAGTAGAATAGAGAATTTAAAAAAAAATCTTATATTTTATAGCTAATTAATTTTCCATAAGAGTGCAAGTATTTTCAGTGGGCAAAGAATAAAACCAAATGAATTTACACATGCAGAAAATGAATATAGAATCCATGTCAGATCACATATAAAAATAAATTAATCAATAAATATAAACCCAAAATCTTAAAACTATTAAGAGGAAAAAATGTAAAGGTAAATCTTTGCCAAAAAAGTGAATCTAGTAATAGATTGCTTTGAGAATGCAATAAATAAGACACTAAATAAGTGTCTTAAATAAAACACTAAAATAGTGTCTTAAATAAGATACTAAAATTACAAATAATATGAGAGAAATAAATTTGACTTCATTAAATTTAAACATTTTGTCCACAAAACGACTTTTCAAACACAGAGAATGCTTTACTTACCAGCTTTGAGAGAAGGAATCAGTAGAACTATGAGACAAATAGGCCCAAGAAATACTTTCATATTCTCCTATGGATAGAATAAAGACAAAAAGAAAAGTGTTATTATTCCAGCAAATTTCTAAAACCAAATACAGTAGCTTAATAAGTCATATTGTGTTTCTGCATCATGAATATGGTCATATAAAAACTTATTGAAAAATAGGTGACTTGAAGGTTTGGGGTCATATGTAGTAGGAGGATGGGTTTTAACAGAACTATGACAGCAAACACTACAACCTAAGACTTTTTAAAACCTCCACCATCTATCCCAGTATACATTTCTAGTCTAAAGTTCCACTTCAATTTTCCCAAAATCTCCCCTTTGCTAAATCCAAAGTAGGCAATTCTTAAACTATTATGCTCATGAATTTTGGGGTTGGTGTTTTGTTTGCTTTTTAGTTTTTGGTTTTGTGGACTTGTTCCCCACCTAAAATGAACTTAGCCAAATTCAACGCAAAGATCATGGTATCATCATATAATGTAAGACACAAAATGTTCATATAATATATTTTTGTTGTTAGTTGCCATGGAATCAACTATGACTCAAAGGTATCTTGTCAACAAGCAGGTCTTTCATGAACTTGTCCTGCCCTGTGCCATCCTCAAGATCCCCCCATTGCTCAAGTACATCACTAGTTACTGCCTTAACCCGTCTTATTGCGGTTGTCTTTGTTGTCTTCTCCTTTGCGGACTCTCTACTTTTCCTAGCATGGTGTCCTTTCCTAAGGACTGATCCTTCCTGATAACATGCCCAAAGTTTGTGAGACAAAGTTTTACCATCCTTGCCCATAAGGACCATCCTGATTGCACTTCTCTCAAAATAGATTTGTTTGTTCTTCTGGCAGTCCGTAGTATATTCAGTAGTTTCTAACAATATCACAATTCAAAGACCAAAATTCTTTGGTCCTCTGTGTGTTAGGACTTCTGAAAATGACTTTTCTAACTATTGCCTTAGCTTCCCCTGGGGGTGTGTTTTCTAGCTGCCTCAATTGCAGACACATGGCTCATCTCTTGATCAACATCATCTTCTTCAACATAATCAAAAGCTGTGAAGCCAACATAAGAGGGAAAGCTGGACAAACTATGGAGGGACTGTGGTGAAGCAGAGACTGGCAGAACCCTGTGGATGGGAATCAGAGTTGAAGGTTTTGCTTGTGGGATAATTGAAAGAAGAATTGATATGTGATTGCTTTGAGACAAAGTTTGCTGGACAACTGAGGAAACCAGAGCTTCTTTCATTTGTGTTGCCGGACTAAACCTGGACTTTCACTTGCTGACTGAGAAGCTGTCTGAACTAACTAAGGAATTGTGTTTTGTTAATCTGCTTTGGGACTATTGGGATAAACATGGACTTCCATTGTGTGATATCTTTTGCCTCCCTCACCCCCAATCTATTTCTTTAATAATGAATGAAGTCAAGTCTGTAAGTTAACTTGAACATCCAACACAGTAATTAGCTGAAGTAGGTATACAAGCGGAGTGGGGTAGGGGGGCATGTCTGACCTGGGAGATATTTGTTTGGCACTGTGGATGTTATTGATGGAAACAGTTCTGCCATGTGGAGTTACCGACTCAGCTATCCCCACGTTGTCCTAATGGATCTTGCTCCTTTGACATCTTCCTTATTCATGAATAACTTGAATAAGGAATAACCGAAATATCCTGAACACAAACAACTTTGTCTGATTTGCAAAGCTAAGGAGGGTCTTGGTTATTATGAAGCTAGAAGAACACATGGAAATAGGACATATTGTTGTTGTTATGTACTGTCAACTTAAGTCAAGTTGGAACTGACACATAGCTAACCCTTCAGCAGGTTTTCAGAGGCAATAAATTACATAGAAGGAGTCTGACCATTTATCTCTCATGGAGCAGATGGTAGATCTGAACCATGTGCCTTTGGGTTGGCAGTGAAACTCCTTACAAGTAAGCCACCAGCACTCCCTGGCTTTTTACCAAACTCATAGCATCTTACTTAAGGCATTCTTATAGAAAAAAAATTCTAAAAATGAACAAGAGAGTTATCCCTTCCAATCAACTTCAGAGGCAGTACTTAGAACAGATCATGTACTGTTACACTTTTGAGAAAATATATATTTCCATTTTTCCAATAAATTATATCTATCTGTATTATGCAGATGACACAACCCTGCTTGCTGAAACTGAGGAGGACCTGAAGCACTTACTGCAAAGGGTCAAGGCCTGCAGCCTCCAATATGGATTGAGGCTCAATGTCAAGAAGACAAAGATTCTCACCACTGAACCAAATGGCAGCATCAGAATGTATGGTGAAGAGATTGAGATTATTCACAGCTTTAGTTTGCTTGGCTCCACAGGCAACACTCTTGGCACCAGTAGCCAGAAAATTAAAAGGCGTATTGCCATGGGAAAGTCTGCTGTTAGGGACCTCTCCAAAGTACTGAAGAGCAATGGTGTCTCTCTGGAGACTAAGGTGCATCTGATACAGGCCATGGTCTTTGCTATCACTTGTTATGCATCAGAGAGTTGGACAATGACCAAGCAGGATAGAAGGAAAATTGATGTCTTTGAGCTGTGGTGCTGGAGAAGAGTATTGAGAATACCATGGACTGCTAGGAAAACAAACAGATTCATCCTGGGAAGGGTTAAACCGGGTGGCTCCTTGGAGGCAAGGATTCTGAGGCTCCGTCTAACATACTTTGGACATGCTGTAAGGAGGGACCGGTCCTTGGAGAAGGACATCATGCTTGGGAGGGTGCAGGGACAGCACAGGAGGGGAAGACCCTCTTTGAGGTAGACTGATTCAGTGACTGGGGTAATCGGGATGGGAGTGTCAGAGACAGTGCGATTGGCACAGGACAAAGTTTAGGGCTGTTGTACATAGGGTCGCTATGAGTCGCAAGCGACTCGACGGTACATAACAACAACAATAACATCTAGCTATTAAGTAAATATGCAAACAGACAGCACTTTAGCAAAGACATCACTAATTTAGATTCTATAAATGAAATGCCATTTGGGTAACAGCAAGGAAATTATTTAAGAAGTTGTATTAAAAGACATATTTTTAATGTTACAATGAGTTTGTTAATAATTTCAGCTTGCCTGACTTCACCATCAACACTCTCCACACCAACATCCAGGAAATCAAAAGACATATTGCATTGAGAAAATCTGCTGTCAGGGACCTCTCCAGAGTACTGAGAAACAAAGATGTCAGTCCAGAGATTAAGGAGCGCCTGATTTAAGCCATGGTCTTTGCAATTACTTGGTATGCTTCAGAGAGCTAGACAATGACTAAGCATGACAGAAGAAGAACTGATGCCTTTGAGTTGTGGTGCTAGAGAGGAGCTTTGAATGTACCCTGGATAGCCAAGAGAATAAACAGATTTGTTTTGGAGAGAGTGAAATTAAGTTTCTCCTTGGAAGCTAGGACTGTGAAGCTCTATCTCACATACTTTGGGCACATGGCCAGGAAGGACTGTTCTTGGAGAAGGACATCATACTCAGAAAAGTGGAGGGACAAAGCAGGAAAGGAAAACCACAGAAGAAATGGATTGACACAGTAAATGGAGCAATGGGGGGCAAATGTGTCAGAGTCAATGCGACTGGCTCCAGATAGGGCAGCCTTCAAAGCTGTTGTACATAGGGTTCCTATGAGTTGCAGGTGACTCGATGGCACATAACAACAACATGCTCTTTACATCAACATCAAAGGGGAGAGCCCTTTCAAGCCTGCCAGCCACACTTACTGATGTTCTCGACTTTACATTCCAATATTAGGACAATGATTTCAAAACTAAAGTCTTGAAATTTGAGAGTTTAAAACTACATTCTTATATATATTCTAGTTTTGTTACTGTATTAAAGTTAATTGGCCTTCTCTTAAATTCACTCACTCATTTACTGTCAGTTTCAACTCATAGCAACCCCCCACTGTGTTTCTGCCACTGTAACTCTTACAGGAGGAGATGGACCACTTTCCTCTCGCTAAATCACGGGAAGACTCAAAATACTGAACACTAGTCAGCTTTCCGACTATTAGTGCAATATCCTACAAGCTATGTCACCAGAAAGCTTTGACTTAGTCTAGTCTAGTAGTATTTTTAGAATAATAAAGCAAATTCACGTCTGTCAAATTCATTCTGGCACATAGCAATTACCATAGGATTGGGCAGAACTGTCTCATAGGCTTTCCAAGGCTATAAATCTTTAGGGCAGGAGACCATCCTATCTTCCTCTCATGGAGTGCCCTGCTCAGTTCCAAATGTTGACTCTTCAGTTAGCAGCCAAGCACTTTAACCTCTGTGCCATCAAGGACCCTCCTTAGCATACTGACCTTTACATTATGTTCAAATTGTTAGAAATTAAGGTATTAACACTTTGAAGGCTAGCTTATTATTTCTTTCTGTGACTGCATGGAAGTGCATTTTCAGTTTTACAACAGAAAAGAAAGACATTTTTCAAATGGTCCAGACAATCGATTCTTAGGAAGCCAAGAGAGAGCTCTGGCGACTTAGTGGTAAGGGATTTTGCTGTCAAATTTAAGGCATGTGGTTCAAATCCACTAGCCACATGGTCCTTGGAAGAATGAGCAATCGCTTCCCAAGAGATATTTTTGCCTCTGATAACCTGCTGAAGGGTCAACTATGAGCTGGTTCCAACTTGACTGTACCTGATCACAGGAAGGAAGGAGATCTGCTAGCATGATTCCTAGCATGCTCTGCTGCTAACAAATAGGCTACCTGTCCCCAGGGGTTTGAATTCACAGTGGCTCCGCAGAAAAAACATGGCCTGTCTACAGCCTCAGAAACCCCAGGGAGGGTTGGAAGTGACTTGATAGTAAGTTAAATATGTTAGTTTATCGAAAACAAAATAAGGGTATTATGAAATCAACTCAACACCTACCAATATTACTTCATTTAGCTTATTCGTTTGTTTATGAAGTAGAGGGAAAAAATGAAAGAAGTTGAGACTAAATTTCATGGAGAGTTTATCTAAGGGTATGAGCCCAAATTAATCACAGACAAGCAAGGCTGAACT